GCCCCACAGGGATAGTATGGCGAACATAAACCTAGCTCTAATATTCACTTTTTGCACCGCTACGTTATCAGTTATACATTTATTTTTCACTGCATGAGAAAATGGACATGTGGTGTGAGAGCATGTTAAAAGTAACAATTGCATAAGTCTTTGGCAGTTAACACTGGCTAACATTAGCCATCATTATCTTTATGTGGGGCCCTATATGTTTTCTATGATGAATATGTTTGTATACCTGGTTGAAACCAAATGTCCTCTGGTGGGATAATAAAGTGTGTATTGATCATAAGGTAATACAGACCAAGGTAAAACTGTAACAGCAAATCTTCTGAGAGTGTTGAATTGAACAATTATTGCCTATGAATTCTTCCTATCTGGCAGAGAAGTGGCATGTCTTCTTCCTTATCTTCTTCTACACAAGCCGTGTTTCCATTCAAATAATGTCATGCACATTTTGAATGATCCCATGAAACCGCCTTACCGGATATTCCCATAAAGCGGTGAATACTTGTCTTCGTCTCCGGTTGCATGGGCCATGGCCAATACTTGCTGACATGAAAGAACAATTAAAACTTCTCTCGTACATGGTTAGATGGTTAGTAGGTGACTTGTTTTGTTTCTGGTTCACAACCTTTAGTTCTTCTACTCTGTGCACTGGTGGATTACAGCCATTCAAAGCCTATAGCACCAACTTCTGACCAAACTACTCTGAAGCCGAGTTTATTCACTCCAAACCAGGAAATGCGCCTCATTTGCATTTCTTTTCTGTAACCTTTTAAAAGTTTGCTCAAATTTGCTTGACAATTGAATAGAAACACTTCTATAGTCTTGCATTGCAGTGTCCCAGAAAGCCATTACAGTGAGCCAGCAAGCACCGTAGCAGGTAACTTTTAGAAAAGAAAAGAAATGACCATTGCAAATCACAAATACCCTTTCTAAAACCTGATGATGAAATTCCTTGTGTGTGAGGTAATCATCACTGCAGTTTTTGGTTAGTTTACTTCTTTCTTCCTGGGCTTATCATCTGTCTCACAGATGAAGTTGTCCTCACAGGTGGTGTGACAGGACTACTGATGCTCAGAATGTTTTGTAAGGCCGTTCACTGGGCAGACAGAGAGACATGCTCTGCTGAATGGCTGTGAGAAACACATGGGGGCTGGGGTGTAGGACACACACAAAGGGAATGGGTTTTCTGTGTCCTCCTGCTCCCTGAATAGACTAGCTCTGAGATGTTGATCACTCACAGTTAGTTCCACTTACAGCAACACTGTCAGTGATTACAGTTTCAGGGTTTTAGTGATTTTAGACATGACATTAAAAAAAGAGATGAGATCTGATTTGCCTTAGTAGTTGGCCCATTCTTGCACACTTTATGGATATGGGCCTCCCTGGGGCCAGTTGTGCTTTTAGAAGGTCCAGGCAAATTAACCATGAAACCAAGTGCACTCAGTTTAACAGCGTGAGAACAATTTGACACAGATAGTTGATAGCACAGGAGCACATATCTTAGAGAATGATGACTGAACTTGGGCTCAAATATTTTGTGAAAACTTGTGAAAACAAAGTGATCAAAGTGATCACGTCACAAAATAACTATAAAATCAATTAAAATCAGCGAATAAAGTAGGATTCAATTTCGAAGTGTGACATGCTGCAGCATGAAAGAGGAGGGTTCATGTGGTAAATAAGAACCAAAGTATATGTTCAGGTACACTTACATCCACCTGTAGGCTCTGAGGCAATGTTCCTCTCCTGTACTGTAGGTAGTATCCTCATTCCCTGCTGTGCTGAGATCGGTGTTTCTTTGTGTGTATGACAAGTTCAGAGCCTCGATACCAAATATCACCGGATGGGCACTCGGAGAGCACAGATCTCTGCCGAGGTCAAATGCCCAATCTCGCAATGTTAATGAAAGTGAAAAATAAGGTGTACTCGCCCCGTGATTCGTAACTTCTCTAAATTGTAGTATGTTCTTCCTTGACCCATGCTACACGCTTCCACTAAATGTCTTGATAATCAAGCCATACGTTTTTCTGTAATCCTGCTGACAAACAGACAGACAAAGCATCAAACCCAACCATAAACATGTTTTTGGTTGAAATATTTATCTGGGTAAATGTGTATAAAATGATGCAATGTAAACATGTAGAATAGTTCCATCTGATGGAATGCAGCTGTACATTTTTATTATAGTTTTTATATTTTAATTAAAAAATATATTTTTTTGTGAATTCAGCATTGGCATCATGATTCTTGTTTATTTGTTGTTAAAGTAAATTAACACTGAACACTGTTGAAGCCTTGCTCCTCGGACAGAAACTATCTGGGCCTCATACAGGTCTCACATATCATTATAAAAGCTTTGAAATACCTAAATAATAAACATATAATTGACATATTGTAATGTTTTTTATCAAAATTTGACCACTTTGCAGGCATAATATGTTGCATTTGTTGGTTGCAGTTTGTAAACACAGAATCTTTGCTCCTCGGACAGAAACCGTCTTTACCTCATATAGGCCTTACTTATTATAAGAAGCTTTGAAATACCTAAATAACACCCGAGCACTGGGGAGCCACCAATTGCTTACTGGAATTCTGTCATTGTGGTAAAGGTAAAACCACAGTTGTGTAAAAGAGAACTGATTATCTTCATGTTTGTGGTTCCTCAGCCAGTAAAGATGGCGCTGTGTTGAATACTATTGATTACATGACGCAGATTAGTTTTAATCAAACATTTATGTTGCTAGACTAAAGGCACCACTTTGGAAATGTTAGGTTCCCATTGAAATTGTGTGTGACTGATGTGTTTAGTGGTGAACCAACTGCAAATTGCAGGTCTTCTAGAATTCTCATTCGGACCAGACTGTACAAACAAAAGCAAAAGAAAAGACTTCAATGATGAAACATAAAATCATCAAAAAATCCCAAAAGATCAAACATTTTCAGTCTCTGTCAAATTCAAACAGCAGATAAGATAAATCCAACATGCACAGTACATGCATACTCCTACAAATATCCTCACACACATACGTCCACACCAGAGGTGTGATGTAAGATTGACAGAATCAAAAACACTTGCAACTTGATATTAACTTTAATAGTAATAACCGATGACCACTTGGACTTGACTTAGAACTTCATACATGAGTTTACACAGAATCTTGATGAGGAAACATTTGGATTTGTATACTGTGTTTCTCCTCGCTTCAAACCCATATTCTCCTAAACTGTAGGGGGCAGTATGGCGAAAACTAAAATATACATTTTAATTACTTTTGTGTTATGTTTAATTATAATGTGTTGCATTTGTCGTTGCTGTGTGTAAACACACAGCATTCAAATTTGTCCAAATACACGCACCCACATCTCCGCACAACTTTATGAAAGTGGAGCTTTGCCGGATTTTCAATGAATGCAGCTGAAGGACACAATTCCTCCTGCCTGCTCTGCTCGTATGTGTGCCCTGGTAAACAGACACACAGCCAATCGGACTCTACACAGAGCAGAGAAGAGACGACAAGAACCTGCACATTGTTATTGGCTGGGGGTTAAACCCTCATGTGGGGCCTAAGGCTCTTTGCCAATGCCCCGAAAAACCCCGAACACAGCAAAATAAGAAAATGCAGGCAGAGAGCCGGGTCTCTGTGGTAGTAATAATAATAATAATAATAATAATACATTTAACTTGTATAGCGCTTTAAAGGGTTCTCAAAGGCACTTTACATGGTAAAAACAGAAACAATGAAAGTAATTACATAAACATATACATAACTAGCATCACAGGTTAAAAGCAGATTTAAATAGATGAGTTTTGATTGCAGTTTTAAATGTGACAGAGAATGTCTGAGGTGCTGGGGGAGAGAGTTCCAGAGGGAGGGGGCAGCAATGGAGAAGGCCCTGTCCCCTCATGTCTGATGCTTCGACAGAGTAGGGATCTGTAGCGGATCTGAGGTTGCGGGTGGGAGTGTGACGGTGCAGGAGGTCTGAAAGGTATGAAGGGGCGAGGTTATGAAGGGCTTTGTATGTGATGTGAAGAATCTTGAACTGGATTCTTTGCTGTATGGGGAGCCAGTGGAGGTTTTGAAGGACTGGGGTGATATGATCTCTGGTGGAGTGGGAGAGCAGACGGGCAGCTGAGTTCTGAATGTATTGTAGTTTGTTAATGATTTTGGTGGATGAGCCGTACAGGATGCTGTTGCAGTCGAGAGGTGATGAAGACGTGGATGAGTGTTTCAGCCACTGACGAGGAGAGGGAGGGGTGGAGACGGGCAATGTTTTTGAGATGAAAGAAGGCTGTGTTTGTGATGTGATTGACGTGGCGTTCAAAGGAGAGGGTTTGATCAAAAATGATATAAAGGTTACGGACATGTGTTGAAGCAGGGACAGTGGAGTCATCGATGCAGAGGGAGAAGTTGTGGTGGTATTTGTTTTGTGATTTGGGGCCGATGATGAGGATTTCAGATTTGCTGCTGTTGAGTTTGAGGAAGTTGGCTTGCATCCAGGTCTTTTATGTCTGTGAGGCAGTTGGTGATGGTGGAGTGGGTGGTGGGGGTGATGGATTTGGTGGAGATGTAGAGCTGGGTGTCGTCAGCATAGCAGTGCAAATGGAGACCATGGTGGTGTAAGATGGTGCCAAGGGGGAGCAGGTAGAGGATGAAGAGGAGAGGACCGAGTACCGAACCTTGGGGGACACCGTGAGAGACTGGGGCTGTGACTTGAATTAATTGATACTAATAAACTGTTTACGGTCGGAGAGGTAGGATTTGAACCAGGAGAGGGCTGTGCCAGTAATATGGAGGGAGGACTCAAGACCGGAGAGAAGGATAGAGGGGTTGATGGTGTCAAAGGCTGCACTGAGGTCAAGTAGTATTAGGATGTTGAGGGAGTTGTATTCTTTTTGTATAAGTTCATACATTGTTTTTTGCAGAGAAATGCATGCATATTATACCTTTTAATTTTCTAACATGTGTCTTTTCCTCACCCTTTCCTATCTGAAGGTGCAGCTCTGACTGAGATGGCCATGTCATTGCGCCACCACAGGACAGTCATATTGGCTGTGGTGGCCTTCTGTTTCCTGCCTTGCATCACTTCCTCTCTCAACCTGGAGGATCCCAATGTCTGCAGCCACTGGGAGAGGTCAGTCACAATGCTGCAATCATTTCTTTAAAAGCTTTTGACCTCAAGGGCGCAGGTGACACACATTGCTGCTTTGCATACTACACCGTCTTCAGGGAGCGGCGTATGAGTTGCAGGGCCACCTTGGTAGATGGATCTGCCTGTGCATAGAATGAGGGTTACAACATAGTTCTAACCAAAGTTCAAAGTTCAAAGTTCAAAGTTAGCTTTATTGTCAGTTCCACAATATGTACCGAACATACCGAGGAGTTGAAAAAAAACGTTTCTCCCAGTCCAACATATAAACATATAAACATATAAAGTGAATACAGTGCAAATAGATAAAAAATACATTTAGACAACATATAATTTAGCAGCAGTCGGACATAGAGTCTTAAAGAGAGGAGGGAGAGAGTTCAGCTTCCTAACAGCCTGGTGGACAAAGCTGTTTGAGAGTCTGGTGGTGCGAGCACGGAGGCTCTGGTATCTTCTCCCAGAGGGCAGGAGGCTGAAGAGACTGCGAGGGGTGGCTGGAGTCGCGCACAATCATGGTCACTTTGCGGGTGAGGCGAGTGTCATATATGTCCTGCAGGGAGGGGAGTGAGGGGAGTGAGGCACCAATGATCCTTCCAGCTGTGTTCACTATGCGCTGCAGGGCTTTCCTGTTGTAGTCAGTGCAGGTTCCGCCCCACACAGTGATACAGTTTGTCAGAATGCTCTCAATGGTGCCTCGGTAAAAAGTGCACATGATGGGTGGTGGTGTTCTTGCCTTCTTTAGTTTGTGGAGAAAGTAGAGGCGCCTCTGGGCTTTCTTTGCCAGTGATGTTGTGTTGGCTGTCCATGAGAGGTCCTCACTGCTCACTGGTCACTCTCTCTATATCAGCACCATTGATGGTCAGTGGTGGGTGTTTAGTGTGGCCTCTCCGGAAGTCAACAATAATCTCCTTGGTCTTGCTGTTATTTAGAAGGAGGTTGTTGTCTCTGCACCACGTGGTCAGAAGGCTGACCTCCTTCCTATAGTGGGTCTCATCATCCTTGGTGATGAGACCTACCAGAGTTGTGTTGTCTGCGAATTTGACCATATGAGATTGGTGCTGTAGGTTGTGGTGCAGTCGTGTGTCAGCAAGGTGAAGAGCAGTGGACTGAGCACACAGCCTTGAGGGGCCCCTGTGCTCAGTGTGATGTTGCAGATGAGTTTTTGTGGGATTATGGTGTTGAATGCTGAACTAAAGTCTATGAACAGCATTCTCACATATGAGTCCTTTGTGTCCAGATGGGTGAGGGCTGGGTGGAGATCAGAGCAGATTGCATCCTTTGTGGACCGTTTGGCACGGTATGCAAACTGGAAAGAGGAGGCAACCTCAGGTTCTGAAATGTGAAGCCAATGCGGAAGTGTCTTAAATTTGCATTATCTTTCCTGGCCAGCAGGGGACAACTCTGCTGGGTGCATAAAGAAGTCAGATGGAAGTCTATGAGAAAATGACCCTACTTCTCAGTTGATTTATAACCTCTGTAAACACAGAAGCAGGGGGCCCCAGCCAACCCAGGTAGTACGTAACTGAACTGCAGGGGTCAAAAGACAAGCGGTAGACACCCTGCACACCACATTACCCGGGTCATCAAAGAGCACAGGGACATAAAGGTGTATCATGCCCTAAGGGGAGGGGTCAGGTGCAACACAACCAACACACACCCCACCCATTTCACCAGTGATATATCGTTCCAGCGAGCACAGATGATGAAAAGGAGCCCAACATGTCCAAGAGAGAACCATATGAACGTAGAAAGCATCGACCATGATGCTGCCGAACATATGTCGTCGACACTCACATCACAAACAAGCCCGCCACGCTGTATTGTATGCAGACCACAGTGGGAGGGTCTCTTGCTGCCATCCATGGACTTGGGAGATGAACCCTCAAAGCCATGCTGCCAGGCATTTCTTGGATAGGGCTTTACCTGCCACATTTTTCCTGAAGCACACAAACAGAACTGTGCTACTGGCCGTGATGGATTGTACTAGCGTGATTGTCGCGGCCCACTGCCTCCACCAGAGGTGGGACTGTTATGGCCAGTGTGTGTTTGAGTCCTTTGACATTGGGCAGCCATGAAACGTCATATTTGGTTCGAGCCGAATTCAATGAGACGTTATGGGGAGCCTGGGAGGTGGACAGGGTATTGTGCTCATTGAGAAATGTAAACTGTTTTAATACATTTTTCAGATTTTCAACAGTACTGACGATCTCCTTCTCACTGTTGCGTTGTTACATTTTGCCTCAGCTTTCCTCTGAGGGTGAGTAAGCGGTAGATTACGTTTTAGCTGAGATTTTCCCTCCTCCAGACGTTTAAAGAGTAGAGGGACAGATTAAATCGATACAAAGAGACAATCGGTGATGACGGGGGGTCCGATGCGATCATTCCAGTTCTTTCTCTGGAGTGATATGATTCCCAGTCACACATGGGTAGAGCTCACGGTGGCGAGAGACATCAGACGGCCCACTGCTGTTGATGCTCCCTGAATCAGATTATTAATTTGGGTGGAAGCGACAGGGCTAGGTCCAACACGCCCCGCTGCAGTGGTCATCACTAGCAGGAAGTCCTGGCAAAGAGATGTTGGCGGTGGGCTTCTGTGGGAGGCTGATGTACCAGACACCGATGAGATATTGTCGTCATTGTCATCTGCAGACAAAACCAGTGTCTCACTCAGCAGGGACGACCGAATGACTGGAGGCTGTGGCAGAAGGTTGAAGGCTGGGGCGGGGACTTCAATGGCGTTGATCTCGAGCTCCAGCTCACTCTCATCCCAGCAAATCATCACATCGAAGCCTCGGAAGTGATCCCACCGCTGCTGGCATTGAATCTTGTACAGCACTCGGCAGGTTGGGCAGGCTGGTGGCTGCAGAACACCACTCTCTGCACGGTCCATGCCAAGGCATTTCACGTTGTGAGGATCCGTCCCGGCGATGAGGTTGGGACATGATGTGCACTCACTGACGAGGTTACTGAAGCGCCAACTCCATCTGAGGAGGGAGGCTGACAGTGGGCAAATTGTCATTTGCCTATTATACTGCCCAAACATATTCATGCGACTCCAGAGTATTCCCCATGGAGTCCAGCAGAGGTTTCAGCCTGTGTGAGTTAGAACTATACGTTTCCTGTGAACACTAAGTTTATTTTGTAAAGACACTATGCATTCAACGCAGTGGTGGGCCGTCAGGGCCAGCTAAGCCTTCTCTGCTGGCCTAAACAGAATCACAAAGTTATAGCTATTTTATAATTTAATAATTTTTCACAAATAAACTACATGTATTATAATTTTTTTCCCATTAACTTATTTTCTCATTGCACAGCTCCTGTCTTCCTCTGTTGCTCTGCGTCCAGCACAGCTTGTTTTATGGAGAGCTTTTATCCAATCAGATTCATCCTCTATGTCTCTATGTAAGGAGAGAGGCTCGATGCCCGCTAGAGAGCCTTTGTAGTTTAAGTGAATGGGGACGATATTGTTGATTGTCATAGTCTTCAACCAATCAGATCTTTAGTTTGACATGTTGGGCGTATTCTTTGACGTGCCACTGCTACCCAGGTAGCCTGCTAAGTACGTCTGCATTAACGGTGCGTCTGATTGGTCAGTGGGCCAGCGTGACTTTTGTCAAACAGAAAGCTCTGCCAGCTAGCTTTCTGTTTGACAAAGTATAGTAAGAGTTCAGGTTGAAACATATGTAAGAGAAGTTATGCCATTTTTAGCGTTTTGCTTGGTGTAGATTATTTTTTTTAACCTAGCTTTGTTTTTTAACACTCAATGGCTGAAGGAGGAGGAGAAACGGATTTCTCAAGACCAGAAAAACTGGACATCTATCAAAGGCTCGGTCAACCCCACAGCTAGCATGGAAAAGGATTTGTACTAATGGTATTTCTGGCTGACAGCGGCGGAGAAGCGTTGCACATTTTATGGCTAAGAATGAAACTTTTGGAGAGACCCGAGTGGATTTACAACTCAACGAACACGTTTGCAGGAAGACCTCTGACTGGAACTGAACTGAACTGATGTTCTGTACAACCACATCATTAAACTCTTTGTTAACACAGAAAGGAGGATGGACTTTGTCTTTAAGTGAACAGCAGTTTTGGTAAGTGAAGTGCTTTTGTGTTTTTACATCTGCAGTAGCCTTACTACTGTTAGATTTTCTATTGTGTCGTTTTTATGATATGGTGAATATTGTTCCCTCTGATGTGAATAATAGTTGAATGGCTCGTGCTCTTCAGTGTGCGGTGGAATACGTGTGTTAGCGCTGCAGTGTTTGGTTCATGTGAGTTTGTTCTTGTTATTGTGTTAATTACATTGATTCTGACTATGCATTTTCTGTTAATGACGAAGCATCCCGTCATCGCGTTGTTTGCCATAGTTGTATTCCCATTAAGCTAGTTTTGTGTAGCCTCAGCTGTGTTTTTTTTTTTTTTTTTTTAGTATCGGGTTGAGAGGTCACACAGCCCGTTGTCTGTTACATGAGCGCAGTCCACCGAAAACATTATATTTCCCACAATTTAAGCTTCTGCATTTTCCAAATGCACTAGTATTATTATCAGAGGGATATTTTATTGACTAAATAATTAATCTATTGAGAAAGAAAATGCTACTCTAGCTTTACTGATACAAGTTTTGAATTGTGTTCAGTTGACAGACTCTCTCAAAACCAGAAACCAGAGAAGTAAGTCTCCCACTTGTGATGTCATTAAGTATAAAGTCTGGAGCTGCTCCATAGACAATGAATGGGAGACTGATTTTGTGTTTTCTTTTTTTATACCCAGATGAGTTTTATGCTGTTGTAGTGTCCTCCGTACCATATACTCAGAACATTCCCGTGGGTGCTCTCAGTGTCATCTGTAACATCGTTCCCAATTCATTGTCAGTAGAGCAGTTCTACACTTTATACTTGATGATCACAAATTTGAGTTTTATCACTCTAGCTTTCAGATTTATGAGAGAGTTTTTCAAGTTTACTAATATTTTAGGAGAACATTTTAAGAATATCATGTATGAATTTGGAAATGTGGTGTAGTTCCCCTTTAACTGCAGCCATAAGTGATACAGTGTGAAAAATGCATGCCTCCAAAGAGCTTGTGGGGAAACCAATAAGGTCACGAGGCAGTCATAAGGTAGCTTTTGTCAACGCCCCAACAAAGTCGTTGACTGTGAGACATTGTAATTCAAGTCGTTATACAATACTCACCAATGTTGTGTCACACCGAGTACAGTGGGTAGGGGTACAAAGCATGGGGAGGGTTAATCCTGCCTAAAACGATCAGTGGTCTGAAGAATGTGCACACGGGGTGTCCTGTTGGATAAACATGGGTGGTAGGGTGTTGTGCATGAAACCTCTGCACACACACACACACACACACACACACACACACACACACTCTGATTCTGCTCCTTATGTCTGATATCTCTTTCCTTTCTCTTCCTGTGCTTTCAGTTACTCGGTGACAGTGCAGGAGTCATACGCCCATCCCTTTGATCAGATTTATTACACCAGCTGCACCGACATCCTCAACTGGTTTAAGTGCACCAGACACAGGTGAGAACTACATCGCTGAGGCCGGAATACCGGAATACAGCCCAGAATGTGTGTGAGTGTGGAGAGAGTGGTGGTTTATTAAAAGACCATTGTTTTTGCATGCTTAAGCCCATGTTCAATTTTCTTGTCTACCTTAAGCATGCACCGACATTCTCCCATCTACACATTCATTCATGAGTCACATTCACAAGGTGTCACCTGCTCATCAGGGTGTAAAGTAATGCTCATTCACACTCTCACACATTGGTGGCACAGCCCGACCAGCTTTACCTCCTGAGCCACCGTACAGTTCAGTATATGTCACCTACCTGTCAACCATTTTCCAAACCATACAACAGTGTTTTTACTACATCCAAGCTTGAAAGTTCCAAATCCAGCACCACGAAGACCTTGTCTTCTTTTTATTTTGTGGCATGGTAACGCTGCATCAGTGTGCACTAGCAACTACATGGACCACACAATGAGAACAGTCACAATTAAAAGCAGACTGTTTAGTGTCAACTTCAAATATAGTCGTTTGCCAATTTATTTTAATCAAGATTTCTCCTTTTTCTAGAGCTTTCAGGTCAAACACAAAAACTTCCAGCTGCAGTGTGAATGTAGTTGATTTAAAACAACAAGCTGTAATGCTTTTTGCAGCATAGTAAGCAATAGTAAAGTAATTTCATAAATAACTATTGCTGTGCTTTATCTGTATGTCAGGGAATTAGTTAAACTATAATATCCATCCATGTATGTTTTTATCACTCTGTCTACGATCTGATCATCTCGAGTTAAAAAGTTCCATACCCTATATAGACAACCCAGACTCCCTTTTCCACTCCACATGTTACACCACACGATCAAATGAGCACAGAATAACCAACGTTGTGCATGTATCTCGCGTTTCCTTTTATTGAGTGTCTGATCGTGTATCCGCCTGTGAGCAGGGTGAGCTATCGGACAGCCTATCGAAGGGGAGAGAAGACCATGTACCGGAGAAACTCCCAGTGCTGCCCAGGCTTCTACGAGAATGGAGAGATCTGTGCTCGTGAGTATCTTTATCATCATCATCATCATCATCATCATCGAGGATCACTCCAAGTCGAGTATGATTGTCCTCCTGTTGGTGGGTTTTGTCATTTGTGGGTCTTCAGGTGGTTGTAGAGGTCGATCCTTGAGTCAAAAGTTCTGTCGCAATAGTGGCATTGGGAGTGGTTGTCATGGTACCGGTGGTTTGTGGAGCCATTATGGTGGTGGGTCTTTCCTTTTTTGGTTGCTTTTTTTCTCTTGCGGCGTGGGGAGGTCCTTTTCTTGCTGTGCTAAGCCTTCATAGACCATCCTGCTCCATAGGTTTCTGTTGAGAGTTGTGGATGATTAATCAGCACTTTCTCAAGTAGGTTTTGATGTTTTCTTTGTACCGCCTTGGGTGTGTTACCCTTCAGTTGGTCACAGAGCATTTGTTTTGGTTGGCGGTATTTGGGTTGCATATGTCTGCTATAGGTGGTCCAGCAGGGTCAAGCCTGAAGTGTCCAAGGCAGAACTACCTCTTGATAGACGAGAAGTTTGGTCTGGATGTTCCGATCCTCAAACATTCTTTCTCAGCTTTTCTTATTAATGACAGCTCTTGTGGAAAGAAGGTAGGCCAAGGTAGGCAAAGTGATCCACATTCTCCAAGATGTTGTTGTCCACAAAAATTGTCGGGACTTGGGCAGGTTGGTCGGCTGCTGGTTGGTGTAAAATGTGAGTTTTCTTGATGTTAAGACAAAGTCCCAGGAGCTGGCAAGCTCTGGTGAAGGCATTCATGATGCTCTTGAGGTCCTTGTCAGATTGAGCAACAAGGCCTGTCCTTCTGTAAGAGACGCAAGAACTTGAGATATTTGTTTTGGCTTCAGTTCACAGAGCCAAAGGCCGTTGTGAGGTCGATGAATGCCATATACCACGGTAGACGTTGTTTTTGACATTTCTCATGTAGCTCATGGCTGTCAAAATGATGTCGGAGGTTCCGCTGTCAGGACGAAAAAGCTAATTAAAGGCAAAACCTGGATAAATGAGTGAAGTCATATAACGAATGACCAATGAAGAACACTGTATGGTTTGAGTATGAACATGGCGTTGACAGTCACCACACTGCATGAGAGTTGCCTCTGCAGGCTATGACTGTCTGCCATTAGCCAGAAAAACAGAACCTTTGTCATCTACATGTGTTGTCATTACTGTAACTTCACTTTCCATTGAGGCTACTGTGCACCCCCACCCACCCCTCAACCCTCCCTTTCAGTAGCCAGCAGTCAGTAACAGGTGTGAAGCCACAGCGGCCATTGGCAAAAACAACAACTGTTGTTCAGCAGCAACAGTAAAAAAAATCATTATGCTAACACAGCCTGCTATTGTGCTGGTTGAAGTGGTTGTTGATAGAAGCTGTGTGCTTCAGTGGAGACCACAGTTTGATTCATGTGGGGGCTGTGAAAATGTGCCCCGGGAGTTCAGAGGGGAATTTACTTTAGAAAAAGGCTCTCTTGTATAAGCAACATCACATGTTGCTCTGAGAGTCTCACTGAGGATTTGCCAGATACTCCAGGCAGCATGGCATTTCCAGATGAGAGTCAGATAGCAAAGGAAGTCAAATGGCATATAGGGTTAAATTAGTTCATACATTTTCTTTGGATGCAGTCTGTGTGCCTGCTACACATTAGAATTTGAAAATGTAATGCAAACCCCAGTCAATGAAAGTAAGATGGTTTAGTGATGACATATGTAGGGGTTTAGCAGCACAATGCCATAAAAGTCTGCTGATGGAGATTCTTCTTCTCTCTCTTCTTCTTCTTCTTCTTCTTCTTCTTCTTCTTCTTCTTCTAATCCTCCTTCTTCTCCTTCATTGGTAAACATAGTGGAGAAATGAGTAGCCCTGGTCTTACTCCCATGGCGTCAAATACAGACAACTGGGGAGTATTCCTTTGCGTCTCGATATTGACGCACAATGCAGTAATATGTCTGTAATACGGCATCTGTATGAGAGCGTCATTATTATGCAATGGAGCGAGAACACCCACAAGGGAGGTGTGGTGGATGAGTCAAATAAACACAGGATTTTTACTTTGTCCTGTGGGAAAGCAAAAATGTATTGATTTTTACAGACGACGTCCGTCCGTAGTTTGGAACACATTACAAACATTTTTGTAACGGTGAATCACTTGTTATTTTTGGTTTTGAATCAAAGGTTCAAGGAATTCTTTGTCATGTGCATGAAAAATGCCCCCAGTGCATTTCCATACAATAAAAAAGTTCAACATGTACACTGTATACATTATATGCAGTGTTAAAGTAAAAACAAGTACACATGAATACAATGATTACAAATCTAAATCATTAAAGATGAATAATTATTAGATAAAACATAGTGTTCAAATTAATTAGGGCCTGGATGAGTTTAGTCCCTTATGATGGCTTTTGCAATTTTTTTAGACTCAGCATCATATATCGCATTCAAGTCCGGTTGTTAAATCAGCACCTTGTTGTCGTTTTTAGCCTTTTCTGAGCTGAATTCTAATTTAATCTAGGACATCATTTAAGGTTAACTGTTAAGATTAGTGTCTTCTTGCAACAGAAAACTTAACTTTTGTATGCATGGAGACATAAAACGTGGTTGAAAATCCGTTTAATTCAAACTGCTCTTTTGAAAACAATCTGGGTATTGTCCAGTTAAAATCATTTGGTGCTGAAACCAATGATTATTTACGTCTTGAGTGACATGCGTCAAAACAAAGTGGTCCAATCCTAATTTAGATTAAGTGAAGTCGAATCTTCAGATCTGGATTTTTCAATTAATCCAGGCTTTCAACATCTTGATTCTTCAGCTTTTGCAGGGAAAGTATAAAAATATAATTCTTTAATTGATGTACCCATACATGACTAATTCTTAAAGCAGATATATTTTTACAAGTCTTTGTGAATGTACTGATCCCTGTCTTCCTGTCTCCTCCATGTCCAGCTCATTGTGCGGCGAGCTGTGTCCATGGCCGTTGTATGGCCCCCAACACCTGCCAGTGCGAGCCCGGCTGGGGGGGCTCCAACTGCTCCAGTGGTAAGTCCTCCAGCTGTTGCTGTCATTTCTTTGTGTGTGTGACTCTGGTTTTCTGTGAAAGCACTCTGAACTCACAAGAGGAAAAACAGACTGTGGTATCGTCTTACTGACTGCTGCATTGTATCACAGGAGCTAAACACTCTGTTTGTTCTCATGGCTATATTCTTTAGACATGCAGACATACATTTCCTCAAGTATTGTACTTAAGTACAAATTTGAGATCCAAAATTACAATATATGTTATCATATATATATATGCTAATCTATTACAAATGTACTTTACAATATAAAGTTGGTCAAATTAGCTATACCTCAAATATACATACATTATGCCATCAAAACACCCCTGTACTTTAACTTTAATGACTGGTCCAACAGTCAGGTGAGCTCTCTTTCCCCTGTTTCCAGTCTTTATGCTAAGCTAGGCTAACCACATCCTGACTCCAGCTCTGTACTTAACACACAGACATGAGTGTGATATCCATCTGGACATCTCACTCTCAGAAAGAAATGCAATATATGTATGTCCCAAAATGTTGAACTGTCCCTCAGTTAAGGATTTTGAATTATTCTTCCACAACTGTGTGTAAATGAAATGAAGTGTTGCAAATGAAATGAAATGCTATGTGTTGATCTTCATGGTATTAGATGTATTTGTTTATTGTTGCCCCGCTACTGTCGCACTGCGGTCCAAAGGTGCTGTTATCAGTCCATCTGTTTGTCCAACGTTTTGTTTCAGCAGTATTTTCTACAACTACTCGTCAGATTGCTGTGAAATGTATTATGGAAGTTCATGTTCCCCACAAGATGAAGCCTAATCATTTTAGTGACCACAAGTGGCATTTCCGCTAGTGCCACCATCAGTCAAAGTCACTCTGGTCAGGAAAAACAAACTTAAAACTCTTGGCCAGATTTCTATAAAGCTTCTAGGGCTTTTCATGGTCCCTGAGCATGAATCAATGGTAACCCCCTCACCACCATTAAAACACAATTTCTATGTTAACAAAATACCAACAAAATACCAAAGACAGATTGTCATGAACTCTCTTCCTGGGACGGCCGTGGCTCACTGGGTAGAGAGGGTCGTCCGCAAGGTCGGCGGTTCGATCCTCGACTGCTACATGTCCTGTGCCGAAGTGTCCCTGAGCAAGACACTGAACCCTTAACTGTTCCCCGGGCGCTTCTCAGCAGCCCACTGCTCCCAATAAGCTAGGGTTAAATGCAGAAGTTAAATTTCGTATATGTATATGACAATAAAATCCTAACTTTAACAATAAAATCCTAACTTTAAACTTTTTTAACTTTAACTTTTCACTGTGGTCTGGCCAAGCTCAACAGGCCCTCGATTGAGGCTGCTATCAATTTTCAGTTGAATTAGGCTGCACACTAGCTCAATAACAGTTCTGCCTTTCATCGAGACATCCACATGATCCATGATACCCACGCACAGTCGCTGTGGCCATCACCCATCTGCTGCCATGTTTCACTTTTGGCCAGGTGCAAAAAAAGCTCTTTCATTTCCTCAGCAGAATTGCATCACGGGTATAAATGTATTTTCCAAAGATGGGTAGAATTAGTATTTTGTAAGCAGTTAGTCACAGCTAATACAATTGCACAGGGCCACTTCCTCTGAGCATGTCAACACAGCTTGTACATGTTTACCAGCTCAGTGGGTCTGTCAAATTCAGTCTCTGAATGGCGTGTGTGTTTGTGGAAACACTGTTGTATTTACTGGATCTACTCAACCTCATTGAGCCCTCTTTAACACTCGGGCTAAGTATGTTATGCCCAAGGAATCCTCAGGGGACACTGCGATTTCAATAACCAGAACTTTTCATGTGGCTTTCCTCCAGGAATTTAGCTGCGAAAGTTTTGTCCTGGCCTGTAGCTTGTGTATGGTGGTGTTTTCAAAGGCTGTGGTTACAAGCGACTTTTGTCATTCTGTCATTTAGTCCGTTTTTTCATTCAATCATGCCAGGACGCATTATATATCAACTCTGTACACTCCGAGATCAGATCTTTCTCACATTGGGATCCCATCAGCCAGACCACATGCTTAGGTGTCCTGGCTCGCGTTGAGTTCGGATCTCAGTGAGATGTGGACAGCACATGGGCACAATGCGGACAATTTATCCAACATATGATTAGCATCATCTTCCCCCCACACAGGAGTACCTTCCAGATAAGAGCAAAAGGAAAGCAGCACAGCTGAGACCACAGGTGTATTTAATTAAAATTCAACGAGGTCCATTTAGAGAGAATTTCCTCAGGCAAAGGTCCAGAACATCACTGTCTAACTTGTGCTATGATTTAGTGCCATATATATTAAAGTAGCCTAGCAGTTGTATCAATGTCTGTGTAGTCAACAACTGACTGTCAAACTAAATAAAGAAAGTTCAATTCAATAATATCTCAACAATATTTATGCTCAGTTTTCAAATTCAACTGGATACATTATTAAAAATGCATACTCTTATAGTAAATAAATGTTACTCTCTCATTTCAAGTAAAATAAGTGATGCATTTAAAAATATAATACATTCCAGAAAGCTTTTGAACAATGTGCATCTTAAAAGAAAAAAGAAAAAATAATTGAATTGTCCTCCAGCTTTAAATGTATTTAATTCAGATGTGATGTCAATCACAAAAGCCAAGATATCCATATTATTCTCATCTTCTAAAAAGAGAAAATTTTGTGCAGGGACTTTATGTGTGGTTGTTGAAATAACTTGTTTCAGATCTATTCTTCTCTGGTAACATCATTGTTGGGCAGTGAATTCATGTGTCATATTGGGCTCTTAGGTTTATTTTCTGTGCCTTCATTTTGTATTTGATTGGATACGTTTGCTCAAAAGATTTGGGCTTTGTCTCATAGTGGCGCTTCACATTACCGCTTTTCTTCTTCCGAATGAACAAACGAGTCTGTCCATTCTTGGTTGAAGGTTCTGTTTTTTGGAGAACACATAGTGAAATATCTTCTCTCACTCAGGTACTTCTCAGACTACTTGGTCTCTTGCCCGTCTCTCCCCTGTGTGAATAACCTTTACCCAAGTCGCGATACTTATCGGAATACACATATTTGATTAGCTGAGTAGTGTCATGTGATATGATTTACATTGCACGCAATTGGTCGGTTTGTTTCCTGGGCCGCTGAACGAGTGCTGTAAAGATGGTTCTCAATGAATTAGCGGAGCTTTGTTAGCGACTATTCTTAAAAATCAAATCCACTAATGCTGCAGGGAGGAAGAGTAAGCAGCAAAAATAACAGGGGACTTTTGCTGTGAAGAATTTGTAGGAAATGAAATGTGTTTATCTGCCATTTTAAAGCCATTCCTTTGACCACTAAATAAATCTGATCACTGTACATACAGTATATCTTTATTTTTTCAATTGCTCTTTAATGGGTGAGGCAATACCTCTTAAAGATCTCATGAAACAGTGTCATTGCAGCTTTAATATGATGTATTTTCTTTTAAAACAGGATGTTCAGGCAGAACATTAACAGTGATGTACACATCTCTAGAATCATGTGGGTCGAGTGTCAGGAGTACACAGTTCTGGAAGTAAAAGTCAATAAAAGAAAAGAAATGAGTGAGCATTTACTTCCTGTCCCCTCATCTTGTCTTTTTAAATAGGTTTTTGGTAAGATGCTTGAAATAAGGTCTGTGGTTAACACAAGCTTAAGAGATTTTAAATACGTCAGTAAATACCCCTCTGGTGAAATTTGAATCTTTTACGTGTCTTAAAATAGGTGGTTGTTAACAAGTGTCAAAATAACACTACTAAAAGCCTCTACAAAACTAGTCCGCCTTTCAGCCTTATTGTTTATACCCGTGCTCATGCGACTGTCATATAGTTTGTTTATGACCTAATTGTTAGCTTTTTACTTACGATGATAGCATTCACGCCTCAAAAATCATAAAAGTGGTGTTCAATTGTGAGGATTATCTTGCTAAACAAAAGGTGTAAGTATCATAAACGTTTGTTTGCCACAGAGCTTATTTTGTTGAGAAAATACTAGAATCAAATAGAAAGAAATCCCATTGTTTTTTTGTCGATGGAACCAGTGTGATACTAACTTCAGGAGTTGGCCTTGAAAAATACGTCATCCCTGCATCACACTATATACGGTGTTAGGTGACTGGTAGAAAAGAATGTGTGCAAAGAATATGTGGTTCCTAAGGACAACAGTTCAACACCAAGGCATTGTAGTATTTTCTTTAGCTGGTGTTTGACTCGGTATCTACAGGACCACACCACCTCTGTAGGGCCACCCCACCTCTGTAGGGCCACACCACCTCTGTATGTATTCCTAAATTTCCTGAATAGAGTATAATTATGTATGCTCACTCCTGCTTCCTCAAATGAGGAATCCAGGTGAGTTTCACTCAGAGCAAGTACATATATATTACTAGATTGGACAATTTGGTTTATTTCATATGTTCCAATGTGCTATACCCACGCCTCTCCTTGGTAGGCATGAGGTTGACTTAGTTTTTATGTTCTCTCAAACCATCTAAAATCAACGTAAACATAGCTAAAGGAAAGCAAAAACTCATAAGAGACATATGTCCACTCATCTAGTTACAGTTCTGGAAGTAAAAGTTACACTTTTTAGTGCATAGACAGTGTTAGGTAAAAAAAGAATATCTGCAAAGAATATTTGGATCTTTCAAAGTCTTCTTCAGACTTCAACACCAAAGGCATTTCCAAAAATCTGATCACCAAGCTTGGAATTGTGTTCTGTGTGTTTTACTTCCTTTTGTGAAATCACATCAGTTCACTTTCAGATTCAGACGGAATCAATGACTACATTTCCGTGTTTTGTTCCCACTTTCTGTAAGTAAACATTCTGAGTTTGCTAAAGGTTTGATTTACACATCTGAATGGTTTTCTTGCGGCCCAGCAGTCCGAGAAAACAATTCCATATCACACTATTGCCAACTTTCCAGCATGGTCACTGGGGCGTCCCATACCGACCCTGGGATAGTAGCCTTTAG